AAAAAAAAAAAAAAAAAAAAAGCCAGAGAGTCAAAGCCAGGAATATCAGTGTTTGTTCTAGTTTATGTTTAATCGATGAGTGCTTTCAATTTACAATCTTTAGTGTTATTTTAATGTTCCTTTTCCTTTTCTCACAGGTGCGGGCCATGTTTGAGGATTGCCCCAGCATTCAGTTCTATGAGTAATAAATATCCACAGGCTGTTTTCTTAGAAGTCGACGTACATCAGTGTCAGGTAAGGGAAAGGAATCTTTTTTAATTTACTTTTGAATAAATTTGAATCCAACATTAATATTCTTCATTTTTCTCTTGATGCACATAGTACTTCTTCCTTTGAAGACAGGAAGATGTTATGTTGATGTCATTATTACAGATGTCATTATGGCTACTTTAGTTAAGAGTAGCACATTATTAATTGCTTTAGGTTTGTATTAATCACCTTCTGATATAAAATTAATATGATGTTGTTAATAGATCACCTAGCAGTTCTTTGTATTACATTTCCTTATGTTTTGCAAACCTACAATTATATCTTCTACCCCCGAGGCATTGGCCAATTATACAGCAATGGCAAGGAGTTCTTGGTTACAATTTGAATTGATCAGTTTGTAATCTTATCTCCAAATCAGCATACTGAGCAGAAACTTTAAAATGTTGATTACTTTATTTTTTATTTTAAATTTTTTTGAGATGGAGTCTCACTCTGTCACCAGGCTGGAGTGCCGTGACGCAATCTCAGCTCGCTGCAATCTCCACCTCCTGGGTTCAAGTGATTTTCCTGCCTCAGCCTCCTGAGTAGCTGGGACTATAGGCGATTGCCACCATGCCCAGCTAATTCGTTGTATTTGTAGTAGAGACGGTGTTTTACTGTGTTAGCCAGGATGGTCTCCATCTCCTAACCTTGTGATCTGCCTGCCTTGGTCTCCCAAAGTACTGGGATTACAGGTGGGAGCCACCGCACCTGGCCAAAATGTTGATGACTGTTGATTGAGCCACAGTGTTGTAGGTGAATTACCCTGATTACTTAGTTGGAATGGTATGTGACAGTTCTGTATTTGTATATGTAGAAATGTGGGGAATTGTTAAGGAAAAAAAAAAAAATTAGAAGACTCTTTCCAATACTAAAAAGTGGAGTCTTTAGTTCTGATGAAGGAACAACTCTATAGCTCTGCAACTTTATCTTTGTTAAGTTTCTGAGTGTGGTAAACATTTTAGAATATTATGTAGTTTGTAGTTAGTTTGGGGATTTGTCACACAGTATATGTTTCAGCACTTAGTCACCTGTTATTGAACTGTATCATTGGCCCCGGATTTAATCACTATTTCTGATACGAAAGTGCTTTTTCCTGGAGCTGTGCTGTCAGGTATTGTAACCACTGGCTACATGTGTTTACTGAGCACTTTAAATGTGGCAAAGCCAAATTGAGAGGTACTGAAAGTATAAAATACACATCAGATTTTAAATACTTAGTATGAAAAAAATGTAAAATAATGCATTATCTTTTTATGTTGATTAGACTGAAAATGTATGTATTAGGTTTGCTGTGATATTAAAATTGATTTTACTTATTTTACTTCTTTATTATAGATAATAGAAAATTTAAAATTGCATATGTAGCTCATGGGCTACATATCCATTGTTTTGGACAGCACTTCTCTGTAAGGTCAATCATAGTTTTTTCACTTAGAGGGTTTGAGAAGACATTCCTATGCTAATCTTTATGTTCTTTTTCTTTAAACAATATAGTAGTGACATTCATAATATTTGAATATGTAAGGTGCCATATTTGCTTTACTAGTTCCTTTATACTTGTTATGAAAAGTTTAAACTAGGATACTGAGTGGGTATTAGGTAATTTCCATTCAGTAGTTAGTCTTATAAAATTGTGGAGCTAGGACAGAATTTTAAAAGGTAGTTATTGGCCAGACGTGGTGGCTCACGCCTGTAATCCTAGCACTTTGGGAGGCCGAGGTGGGTGGATCACCTGAGGTCAGGAGTTCAAGACCAGCCTGGCCATCGTGGTGAAACCCCATCTTAA